AAATATATAGCAAACATCATAAAACAACACACCAGAAAGGCCACCATTTTCAAAATGGTTGCTCACTAGCCAAGTTGTCATCAGAAGAAATAATATGCTTTTAAGTAGCCACCTATAAAATTTTTGAAAAATCGCATACATGTACTTGTAAAATAACACACATAAAAATGGTGGCCATTTTTTTAAATGGCTGACTACTCCCCAAAGGTCGCCTACTATCTGAAGTGTCATGAGACAGAGTGCAAGGCTCATGAGTATTCACATATCATATATGAACAAAATCGCTTCACTACTTTTCAAGTTATAGTAAAAAACGTAAAAATGGTGGCCATTTTTCAAAATGGCCACCTACTACCCAAAGTGTCATTACCAAAAGTGTCATTAGACAGTGTGCCATGCTTATAGTATTCACATACCAAATATGAACAAAATCGCTTCACTACTTTTCGAGTTTTAGTAAAATACATTAAAATGGTGGCCATTTTTCAAATTTTTTTTCAAAATAGCCATATTCTACCAAAAGTGTCATAGGACGGTGTGCCATGCTTATAGTATTCACATACCAAATATGAACAAAATCGCTCCACTACTTTTCGAGTTATAGTAAAATATGTTAAAATGGCGGCCATTTTTCAAAATGGCCGCCTTCTACCAAAAATGTCTTTAGACAGTGTGCAAGCTTATAGTATTCACATACCAAATATGAACAAAATCGCTCCACTACTTTTCGAGTTATAGCAAAAATCGTAAAATAACGAGCAAAGGCCGCCATTTTTCAAGATGGCTGCCATGTGCTTCTTTAATGTAGCTTTGTAGCTTTATTAATGTCCTTCATAATTTTTTTACATTTAAAACATATTGCTATTACAGTTTTACATATTGCACCTAAATTACTGTAAAATCGGCACTAAAATGGCCGCCATTTTGAATTGAGCGGCCATTTTGAAAATCGGCTTTCGAGCAGAACTTCTACCCCCATAGGGTATATGTGTACAAAATATGAACAAAATTGGGCCAACGGTATTGGAGTTATTGCCCGGACGGACGGACGGACGGACGTACGACGGACCGACGGACGGACGTACGTACGGACGGACGGAGGCGTTCCCTATATCCCTCCGAACTTCGTTCGATGGGATAATAATAATAGTATGGACTCCACAGGTATTGCCTTAAATAATCTACAGAGAAACCTCTTGCGGTTGTATTTGTGTTTGGTTGGAGCCCCGTACAATGATAGATGGAAAAATATATTCATATTATACACGATTAATGTTTGTATATCCTAAATTGAGAAATTTTACCAGTAAATTTTCTATTAATTACAATACAAACCTATTCCATGACATATGCTTACTCCCCTTATTTGGAGTAATTGGCAAGTCTAAAAAACACCCCTTTATAAAAAAGTGGACTGGCCCAAGTGGCCAATATCGATCCCCAACTCATTATGTATTCATATTTAATACGCTAACAAAAAAATAACCTCCATTTTCCCAAAGGCGGGGAGGCTGGGTGGGCCTCTGGTCATGGAATAGGTTTGTATTGTAATTAATAGAAAATTTACTGGTAAAATTTCTCAATTACATACAATCCAACCTATTCCATGACATATGCTGAATAAAAAGTTAAGGAGGTGGGGACCTCGTTACTAAAAGTACAAAAGAACTATATTACCATCCTAATGAGATGTCACCCAAAGAATAGTACATGTACCATTACCCCCATCTGCTAGTTGGATCCAAGACGGAGGCTGTTACATGTCCAACTGGAGACTGTTATGTCCTATCAGAGTGAGCAGTCTTAGCCATTTAAGGGTAATGACCAACTCCTATGAATAGAGACTGGTTAACCAAGAAAGGGCCGTTTAAACCAAACGAGGTAACCGTTGCAGTTCTTCAAGGGTCCAGGTCACAAGCTAGTTGAGTTTAACCCTTCTGCAAAACAGTCGAGGCCAAGCTTCCCACGTGAATCCATCTGCAGATATAGAGTGAGTGAAGAAACACTTACGTCTAAAAGTTGCAGAGAGTGCCAGCTAGTACCACCGGGCCCAGCTTGTGCATGCCTTTCTCCATTACTGTCACATCTCTGAGGTAGTAACTTGTGAAGGTGTTGTGGGATGCCCATGAACAGGTCTTGAAGAGTGCTGTTAATGAGGCATTGGCTTGTAGAGCTAGTGAGGAAGATATGGCTCTTGTCTCGTGTGGTCGTATCTTCCCTTGTAACTTGCTTTCTTCTGAGGCATTCTTGTAGACATAGTTCAACAGTTGTTTCACCCAACTAGAGAGAGTGTTAGGGTGTACATCAGAACTGCATCCTTTCTTGAAGGGGATGAAAAGTCTATTTCTGGATCCTCTGATAGGAACTGTGGCTTGAAGATAATATCTTAGGGCCCTCACAGGACATAAGAATTTATCTGGCGTTTCATTTCCAACGAAATTAGCTAGAGCCTTGATGGTGATTGGTTGGAATCTGGACTGTCCTTCTGCGCAATTCAATGATTTCGGCAGGAAACCAACAAAAGGGAAAAGTACCGCTTCCAAGTTGTTTCTAGTCCATTGTATACGCCTAATGTCTATGGCATGGATGTCAGAACATCTTTTCCCTGAAGCTAACAGTAGAAGGAAAAGTGTCTTCCACGATACGTGTTTGAGATCAGCTGTCGACATTGGTTCGAAGGGAGGTTTGGTTAACTCGTGTAGTACAAACACTAGATCCCACTTAGGCATCAGATCTTTAGGCTGAGCATCTTCTAATTTGAAAGAATGGATCAGATCAGAGATTTCTTGAGTCGACGAGAGTGATGTGCCACTTGATTGTTGAAGGACTTGATTGATGACAGTTCTATAACCTTCAATGGTACTCACTGTTAACTTCTTTACTGAATGAAGATAAAGTAAGAAGTCAGCTATTTCTGGAACAGAGACTGTGCAGGGATCCAGATTCCTCTCAGAACACCAAATAGAGAACTTCTTCCATTTGGCATCATAGACTCTGTTGGTGGAAGGTCTTCTAGCATCTGATGCGATTCTTTTTGACACTTGTGTTGAAAAACCCTTCTGAGTGAGAGATTTCGTGAGAGTTTGCAAGCGTGAAGATGGAAAAGTTCTGGATTTTGATGGAAGATCTGACTTCTTGGCATTTTGAGAAGTTTCTCCCATGGGGGGATTTCCCTTGGATAGTCCACTAGAAGATCCAATAGTTCTGGGAACCACGGCTGATTCTGCCATTTTGGAAGGATTGCTAGAGCTAAACAGTCGTGATCCTTTATCTTTTGTAGAACTAATCCTATCACTGGTGTGGGGGGATAGATGTACAGATGAAGATTTTGCCAGCTTAGGGATAGAGCGTCTGTTGCCCAAGCTGCTTGATCTTGTATTGGTGAGACATACACTGGTAGTTGGTTGTTGTAGCATGTCGCCATCATGTCTAGATTTGGAGTTCCCCATATCTTGAACATCTGTTTGACAACTGCTGGATGTAAGGACCATTCTGTCGCCACTATCTGGTTTCCCCGGCTCAACAGATCTGCTCTTCGATTCAGTCGACCTGGCACATGTCTTGCGCGAAGCGACTTGATGTAAATCGGCCCATAACCATATCTGTCGAGATAACTCTGTCAGTTTTGCTGACTGTGTTCCCCCTTGTTTGTTGAGGTAGGTTGTCGCAGTTGTGTTGTCTGCACAAATTAACACCATCTTTCCTTGGAGGTGAGTCTGAAAGTGTTGAAGGGCTTTCTGAATGGCTTTTAGTTCCAGCCAGTTTATGTGGTTGTTGGATTCTGATTGGGACCAGTTTCCACAGCACTCTTTCGATATGTTCCGATCCATGTGAGCACCCCACATCGCTGTTGAAGCATCTGTGAATATTGTCACTTCTGGTGAAAATGGAGCTAAAGTCATCCCTTTCTCCAGATGCTGGCCTTGATTCCACCACAACAGGTCCAATCTTGCAGTACAATCTACTGTTATCATCTTGTCCAATGGATCTCTGAGTTGAGACCAATTCTGAGACAGGCATTGTTGGAGGAACCTCATGTGTAATCTCCCCAGTGGGATTTGTTTCTCTGCTGATGCCAGTAATCCCAGAAGAGACATCCACTGCTTGGCTGTTGCTCGACTTTCTGTGAGGAACCAGTCTGTTAGGTGTAGAATTTTGTCTATTCTGTCCTGGGGGGATAGGACATCCCTAGATGAAGGTCCCACCGTACACCTACATAGTCGAAGATCTGCAACGGAATCAACTGCGAATTCTTGTGATTGATGATGAAGCCAAGGTTTTCCGTCACCGTCATCACAATCCATAGGTGATCTGAGACTTCCTGTGGCGATGCTCCTCGGATTAACCAATCGTCTAAATACCGGTGGAGTTTTATCCCGCGCTTGTGGAAGAACGAGGCTAGGGGTTCCAGGATCTTGGTGAATATCATCGGTGCTGTTGCCAGACCGAAAGGCAGGACTCGAAATTGCAGAATTTTTCCGTTGACGACAAAACGGAGATACTTCCGGAAGTTCTCTTTCATCATTATATGAAGATAAGCATCCCGAAGGTCCAAGGATACTGCCCATTCGCCTTGTTGGAAGGAGGTCATGTACTGCTGTACTGTTTCCATTTTGAATTTGGGAACTATTAAGACTTGATTTAAAGTTCTCAAATTGATGACGGGTCTGTCTTCTCCATTCTTCTTCTTGACCAAGAATAGATTGCTGTAAAACCCTGGGGAATGTCTGTTTAGAACTTCTTCTACAGCATTCTTTTGCAGAAGGTCCTCTACCACTCTGCTGAAACGAGCTGCTTTGCTCGATGTTGAAGACTCGAACTGGTTTGGTTCGGTGCATAACGTCACAGTTGAATTCATCTGTGGGATGTATCCTACCTGGATCATCTTCAGTATAAACGGATCTTCCGTTAACAGCTTCCAATTCGGAAGGAAAAACATCAATCTTCCCCCTACAGGTCCTGGAAATGGAGGAATTGTGAAGATTGGGATCATAGAATGGTCACTTCTTGGAGAATCTGTTGTCTTTGTTGAAGTGCTTACCACCTTTATTGTCGTATTTCTTCTTGGAATCACGAAAATCTGACTTGGGTTTGTCTTGTGATTTGGACCAATCTTTGTTAGAAGATTTCTTCCTGTAGTCAGACCTGGATTGGCGTTGGGACCTGTCTTTGTCTTTACTAGATCTAGAACTGGACTGGGCCAAGGTAACTAGTGCTTGGTTTGTCAGATTTGAGGAGGCTGAGTCAACCAAATCTTTAAGTTGTGACTCTGGATACAAAGTGGTAGATGTATGCTCAACTGGTAGTACCCTCATAGATTCGCGGAAGCGTGTTGGTACTTGTTCTTGAATCAGATCACGTTGAAGTAATGCTGAGTTGGTGAGAGTCTTGAGAATACCTTCAGTAGCAGTAACAGAGGCTGTCGAACCCCTAAGGAGTAAATCGCCCATGGAATCTAACAACTGGGTAACTAGTGGATCCGTGTTGTTGGATAAGTGTGCTGTGAGTTGGGTAACTAACTTTGAAACAGAACCTATATACCACTCTGAGTACACCAAAGGTTGAAGGACAGCCCTCAAGTTCTCTTCGAGACCCTTCCAGTTTTTATTGGAGAGTTGAGTTTTAGTATCAGCATTCTTGAAGAAATCACTGAAGGTTTTATCATTTGGGACTAAGTTTCCAAGTGAATTATTGAGTTTGAGGGGCCGTACGACTGAATCATCTCCCTTGGCTAATCTATAATTTGAAGATTTGATTCTGAAGAGTTTTCCCTTTGTGTTGAAACCGGAAGTGGCAGATGAGATCTGATTATTGATATTCTGCACCAACTGATGGAACACTGGGGGACAAGGTAATGAAGCTTTAGTGACTGAAGATTCATCAACTTTCTGGAGAGCTACCCTAGTCAAAGATTCTTTAGAATTAGTGGAGCTGTTGACTTGGTCAATTTCTAAGGCTGATATGGTTGAATCCCATAAGGAACGAACTAACAAGACCGTTTCTTCTTCAGAGGACTTAGATTTAGACGGCTCGTTGTCATCAGAATCCAAAATACGAGGTTTAGAATCTGAATTTTGAGATTGTGAAATTTTGGAACTAAAATTGTTGATAATGGATCGTGAATTCTGAGTTCCCTGACGTGAAGTCCCGGAAATCCTACTCGGCGAACTATCAGAGGGTCTATTAGTGTGAGAGTAGGAGTGGTGAGACAATCTAGAAGGGCTTCTAAGCTGAGAAACGGGAGATCTTGAACGATTTCGAAAAGTTGACCTACTTACGTCCACGTGGTGTGTGGCGGAATAGTTGTAGTCACGAAATTTGGTGTCATTTCGGTGCGAATCGTTACCTCGTTTTCCCGTCTCTACGGCCTTCTTACTGCTCCGGGGGGACTGCTCTCTCGGAAGCGAGTATTCCGAGTTGTGTAAATAGCTTGAAGACGGGCTTCTACGGTCAGAAGGAGGTCTCGTTGGTGGCCTGTTTCCAAGGGTGGCCATTTTCCTAGTCACCGCCTCTTCCACTAAGGATTGGACATAATCTGTGACGGATGTGGTAGCCAAAGAGACGTCGTTTATCACTTCATTCCCGGTCAAAGTTGACGAGGTCGAGGGACCGTTCAAGTTCAATTCAGAAGTAACTTCACCCTGAATAGAGCCCTGTTCTGCCATACTAGACTAAAGTTATGACTATGATACTCTCTATTCAAAAAACAAATTCTGACTTATAAGTAACAGAAATTTGTTGAGTGAATAGATCGTACGATATATATTGACTTGAAAAATTCCAATTACTCCTACGTGGCAAGAATTAAATATGAATACATAATGAGTTGGGGATCGATATTGGCCACTTGGGCCAGTCCACTTTTTTATAAAGGGGTGTTTTTTAGACTTGCCAATTACTCCAAATAAGGGGAGTAAGCATATGTCATGGAATAGGTTGGATTGTATGTAATTGCTTGTGGCTATTAAAATGTATGGCCTCTTATATTTTGATGCTTCTCCGTTATTTTCGAAAAAATTGTTGTGCTATAATGCCACTTTAGATATAACCTAGTCTATATCCAATAGACTGAATATCTTGAGAATTCAGTCTATTGATCATCATGTCCCTCCTGTGGGAAAAAACAATAAATTTTCAATTTTAGGAAGCTTCACTTACCAAAGAAACATAATAACAATTCAATTAAGAAGTAAGGTACAATTAAATGCTATAAAAAGTACCACAGCATATTGTCAAATGGAAATAAAGCTGGGGGAAGTAACAAACATGCAAATTAATTTACTCCATCAGTCATTTTGTATGGCACTTCCTATGTAAACATATATTTTCAATCCAAGATTTTAACATACGTGGGCTCTAGTGTGAATATTTTCATTCCTAATTTCAAAAAATTTCAGACTATCCTAGAGGACATAGTCTAGATCGAACCTCAGCAGTTCATCACCATGTACTTGCTTATCTCTTTGTACTCTCACCAGAAGAAGTGAGGAGCTCCCATAATTGATGATTTGCGATCACTGGATAGATTCTATCTTGTAGTGACGTCACAATTAGGCCACTCAGCTTTAGATGTTTGATTTTTACAGATTATCTTCTATTTTTCGTGCTTTATGGATTTATTTTTCACAAAAGTGTCCGATTTGACTAGATCAACATTCATTCTCAGCACATGTCAAGTCTAAGATCCTACTGACATGATTTAGATAGCGGTTAAGCGCCCCCCGATTTTGATAAAAATGGGGGGTGCTTATAGGCATCGATGTTTAGTATGAATTTCACCGAAACTTCACACATATAAAGATAAACTCTTGATCTAGTCAAATCGGCATACCTGGTAAATATCCGACCCATGGTTTTCATAAAAGAAACGACAATATTTTAGCTCAAAACTGCCACGTGTCAACCATTTCGTGATTCCATCATGTCTAATATAATTTCTATATGACGTCACACCAATAAGACGAAATACATGACAACAGTATCCATAAACAAAATTCAGAATTCTGATCGCAAAAGGTTAATTCCTTCATATTCTATCGTAGTCGGTGATTCCCCATAATTCAATGTCCAATCAAATTGCAGGAGGTAATCACATGAACAATCATGAGCACATGAACAATCATGAGCACATGAACAATCATGAGCACGTGCTCTCTCAGTACCGTGCATGCGCAAAGTAAAATTTTAAATCCTGGAAGTTCAACATCATCATTTCAAAACTGTGGTAATACTATTGAAGTTACTCAACCAAAACGTGTAGAGAATACTCATAAAACAACAGTGAACATTGAGAGAGTATTCTAACTCTAAAAATAAAAAAGTTCGGGCCATTTCACAGGTTATAACAAAGGTTGGCTCAAAAACCAAAATTGTATCTCCCAACCGCATAATCTCCTGCATCATCAACCAACTCATAAGTGGTCATACCCAACTCAATAGCCACCAAGCCAAAATAAACCCAAGTACAACAAACCTCTGTGAGCTCTGTAATAAACCAGAAACTGTGGACCACTACATAAGTTCTTGTAAACTCTTCGAAACTGAAAGGCTAGAGCTCTACTCGAAAGTAGATAGGATACTCCTCGGGGAAAACACAAACCCTCCCCTTGATCTACACACCCTGTGTGGACTAAACACTAACCTGTCGGAATCGTCAAACAGGAAATTATATAATGCATTTTGTAGCTACATAAGGCAGCCCAGAAGATTCTAATGAGCACATTATAAAACTGTATATAATAGTATAAGTGATTTTGGACTTTATGAAAATATAAGCACAAGTGAGAAGCACAAGTGTAAGCACAAGTGAAAAACAAGCAACACGAGACCATTTAGCGGCATTATGGCGCATTAAAGGATACAAACAAACAACAAACAGAGATCCATTTAAATGGTAAATGAGTCCTGTCCTGGTCATCTTTGAGAAATCTCACCATACTGAACACCATCCATTGATCTATAAGACAAGTTACTCTACCAAGCCGACGGCGTTCTTTACTATTAGGAATTTTCTTGGGGCCGTTATTCAATGTCTTTAAACTCAATAACGGCGTTCTTTACTATTAGGAATTTTCTTGGGGCCGTTATTGAGTTTAACCTCTTTACTATTCTTTCCTTTGATGCAAGTTCTGGATCCATCGAAACCATTTTGCCGCGATAACATGCAATTGATACTAGACAATAATATAATAATATAAAAACACATAACATCAAGCGATTTAACACAATATTATTGTGTCAAATGTTCATTTATACTCGTAAATTGAGGCTACACTTACCGATCTCTAAAATGACATTTCCGCATGTCTGTCATTGTGTCTGTTCGTCCGAGTGTCCCGGATCGTAAAATTAAACTACTAGCGAAACGAAATTGTTGTCAAATAGATTGATAATTATTATCGCGATTACTCGCATTAAAAGATAAATTTTGAAGATAACAGGTATCTTTGATTGATTTATATAGCGTGTGTATACACTAGAAATAGTTATTAATTGCAAACCTACTGTTTGTAAATGCAGTGCCGCAATGACGGTTAATTTCTGATACGATTTGCAATTTCGATGTTACCGAAACTGACCAACATTTTCGCTGTATTCCAAATCGGTCTCCAATATTTTCGTAATTATGCATCAATAGGGTCCAAGGGAGATACGGGATGGTGTGTATGTATTCATAAGGTATGTATGCATGCTTAAATCACATTCTTTGTGTAATATTACCATGGTTTCAGGGTTTAATTAGTTCCGCTTGTCGAAACCTGCGGAACGATTAAATTAACGCATCAAGGACAAAATGATCATGGAGGTTAGACCTAGCCGGGGCCATAAGACATGTCAGATAAGAAACGAGGCCTAGGCTAGGTCTAATGTTGTTGGACTATTGAGCCAGCTGTGTTCAGTTAAAGACAAGTCTTCTATTAGAGTCCATTTCACTGCTTCATTTCGTCAGTAGAACGGCAAATATAAGAAATTGGGAGGCCATTGTGCAATAATATATGGAGAAGTATATTCATAATGTACATGAATGACATTTGTATATCTTGGATTGCTTCTAGTTTGGCTTATAAAGTGTGTGGCCTCTTATATTTGGATGTTTCTCTGCCATGTTATTTTCAATAAGATTAACATGGCTGAAATTCTTCAAATTACAAGACGGCACAGGCTTATTGCACAAAAAACTAAAAAATCTGAAATATACAAACGTCATTCATGTACATTATGAATATACTTTTCCATATATTAGTTTAGTTTAGTTTAGTTTAGTTTAGTTTATTTCAAACAAATAAAAGGCCTCAGGCCCATAGTTTTACAAATATAACAATACATGTTTACATCAATTTAGTAGCTCCTGCCTTAAATTAAATGCTTTATAGCAGAAAGTAGCTAAGTTACATAAATCATTTACACCTTTTGTAGACATTAAATTGATAAACTTTTGATGTGATGGTAAAATATAATAATACCTTTTGATGTACTCTTCCCTTAGATCAATAAATGACGGGCAGATTAAAATAAAATGAAATTCATCCTCCAGAATATGTATACCTTGGTATAATTCACAAAGAGGGCATATGCGATCCTCTTTTGGCATATTTTGATGCCTACCAATTTCAATTTTCAGTTTATGATTGGAACATCTCAGCCTTGTTAAAGCTCTTCTATATTTTACAATATTTACAACTGATAAATATGTTTCGACTTCTAATATACTTTTAAAATCACTGTATGATTCCAATCTATTTGAAGCTAATAATGATCCTGACCATGCTTGTAAATTGACATCTTTTATTCTTTGCACAAAAATTTTAAGAAATAAGTTTTCATCTCCAACACTTTGGTTGGTATAAACAATTCCAAAGCCCATAGAACTCAATAAGGTTTTAACATGTGTTGCCCAAGTTATCCTACCACTTTGGTCTAATTGATATAACATTTTATAGGAAGCTTTCGGTAATCTTTCATCTGGCATTTTAAGAAGGTTTAACCAATATTTTATACAATGTTTCATATATACAATGTTTAAAGGATGCCTACCACATTCACCAAGTGCACATACATCATTTGCCTTTTCACCTAAACATAAAACATATTTACAGAACCGAACATGCTCTCTTTCAATAATATCAGAATATTCATACCCCCAAACTCCACTGCCGTAACATAAAATAGGTACAATAGTTTTGTCAAATATTTCAAAGGCTAGTTGTATTGGTAAATCACCACATCTCACTCTGATTTTTTTAATGTTGAAAATTGCCTTTCTAGCTTGCGATGCTAAATTTCTTTTAGCTGGTGACCAACTTAACCTTGAAGAAAATAATAAGCCCAGATATTTATAGTATGGTGTAGTTTCTACTTTAGTATTTCCAAGGTGCCACATCTCATTTTTTCTAAGAACACCCCCATTTCGACATACCATTATTTTTGTTTTGCCTAAATTAACTTTCATACCCCAGTTTTGACAAAACTGCTCAAGAATTCTGATTTGACCTTGCAATCTACCAACAGTATCAGAGACATTGGCTATATCATCAGCATATAGCAGCATAACAACATTATTATGATTTTCATTTACATATATTCCATTACAATTTGCTTTCATCATTGATATTAACTGATTTAAATACAAAATGAATAGCTGTGGGCTGAGCATACAGCCCTGTCGTGTGCCAACAGAACATGCAAAATACTCTGTTAATGTGTTAGAAAATGTCTCAGAAGATTTTGGAACTCTTACACATGACCTTAACTTTTCATACATAGATCTAATCACCTTTATGGTATTACCATGCATATTAGTTTTTAATCAATTGATACCATAATAAATCATGTGAAATCGAATCAAACGCCTTACTAAAATCTACATACAGAATATAACAACGCCCTCCTTTCTTAGATAAATACTTTTGTACAATAGCAGATAAATTAAAAATTTGATCAACAGTATCAATATTATTGCACAATGGTCTCCCAATTTCTCCATGGACGAACTGAAGCAGTGAAATGGACTCTAGAATCCTTGCACGGATGGTGTTCACTATGAATTTCTCCCCTTGTACTCTCACTGAGTATTTTTCACCTGTTGCGCAGCTTAGTATTGTTAAAGTAAATCTATTCTATATTTATAGGCCTAGTCTCTCGAAAACAAATAGTCTAACATTGAAGCTGGAACTGGAAGCCCGAAGTGAAAAACTCCTTACACAGTTACAATTTTCATTGTCACGTTCAACTGTCAATTGCAAAGACTGTAACGGATCCTGTGATTATTTTTGTGAGTTAACTTATCATTGATGAAAGAATGAAGATAATGAGTGAAAAACATACCTTTTTTCGCGTCTGTGAGGGACTAAAAAGGTCAGTAATTTTGAGAATTTTTCTTTCAGATTTCGCTGCCATTTTAAAAAGCCCGCAAGAGGATGTGACGTCAGGAGAAATGAGAACGAGATTTTGTCAACTTCCGGTAAGAATGTCCACTTTTATATTTCAGATTGTTTTCTTTCAGTATCGACCAACAAATACTATTGCAGCGATGTGTTACCTTTGCCAGTAACTCTAACATTTGTTTATGATGATAAGCCAGATGATTTATCTCACGTAAATCTAGACCTTGATTGTCAAAGATCTTTCTGTCAGTCATCATTCTGACTGTGTCTGTCCATTGATTGGTTGTCCCCTAGACTATATGCTATTTAGTCTGAATTATATTCAGACTATAAGGCACCTATGTTAAAATTTGGTGATTCTAGATATTTGTTTACATAGGAAGTGCTATTCAAAATGGCCGATTGGGTAAAATCAATTTGCACATTTTTACTTCAACTAGCTTTATATCCACTTGACAATATGCTGTGTTACTTTTTATTGCATTTAATTGTACCTTACTATTTAATTGAAATTTTGTAATGTTTATTTTATTGAAGAAATAGTTCCTCTAATTGATAATTTTTTGCAAAAAATTTCACTGCAATTTCCACAGGAAAGTAGTATATCATAACAGACTGACTTCTAGTCAGTCTGTTGGATACATACTAGGTTGTCCCCATTAACATTTTGCAGTCATACAAGCTCAAGATCACACTCTAAATGATATTGGAAAAAATAATTCATATCTCTATCTTGTTATTCTGGCAGGATATTACTGCAAATGTAAGATCAATGTAAATGGGATGCATTAGCATACAGTAGGCGTAGCGCCCAGTGCCCCTGGTATACAGATGTGCCAGATGGTTACAAATACACTCCAAATACAACCAAATTTCAAAATTTTCCGGGGGGAGAACCACCCTCCTGAACCAGAACCAGACCTCCCTGAAAGCTCGTTTTTGTTGATTGTTGAGCTGGTGCTAATGTCATACATTTTCTGCTTTCTGCTCCAGCGTAGATGTGTGCATTTTCTGTTTTCAGAATCTTCACTACAGTTTGTTGATTCAAGATGGTGGATTATCAGCCTGTCCCGTCACACTATCAACTTCTTACAGTTATAGGTAAGGATCTTTAACATATTAAATAACAAGGATGAATCAATGTTCTAACAACGATATTGGTCTGGAAGGGGAGAGGATAAAAATGTCTTCAGGACATATGATCTCTTTACTATTTCTTTCTCTTTCTGCCTTAGCTGATGTCAATTTTATATTTCTCATTGAAGGTTATAAAAGTTACATTTGAGGTCATTAAGACTCATCAGCATCAAAACTTTAAAATATGTGGTAGACAGATGGTATTGTAGCTTGTTGATGGGATTCACATTACTGTCTCTCTTGCAGGTAAAGGTTGTGAAGAAGCAGCATCTATCTCTTTAGCGAAGCACCTACCTTCTGGCACGGTGGTTAGCATTAAACGCATCAATCTGGAGATGATAGAGAATGACTTTAATATAGTCAAGGTTAGTTAGACTTTTAGATGGATTTTCTTTCTAAAAAAGCATGGGGACCAGGGTTTCTCTTTTTTTATATTAGGTCTAATGCAAAATATCTGTTAAAATTGGAGCGTATTCATCATTGATATACCATTCAGTTCATTGCTTACAGACAGAGATCTTGATGACAAGACAGCTACAACAGGATAACCTATTGACATATTACTGTACATTTGTGCATGGGAGATATATCTGGTGTGTCATGCCTCTCATGGAGTATGGTAAGAAAACAGAAATTCTTTTTTACTCCTTTGGGCTTTTAATTCAACATAAGTAGATGTAATGCACTTGATTATTGAAATATTTATTTCATATGCTAAACATGGAAATGGTATAGGCCTAATTGGTCTCTTGTAAAGTTTGGTAAAAACGTTCTTCACACAAGACATACTGGTAATTGAGTAGAACTTCTTAACCTCTAGCTGCAAATCAATTTTAAGCTCATTGCCTCTTATGTCAGATTTTAATTTTGTCCTTTGACAATGCCTTAAAATCGTAAAAATCCAGATATTGAGAGCAGATATAGTATAATAGTATTATCACCCTTGTTTGGTCAAAGTGATTTCTCAGTCCATTAGATAATGGCACTTTCAATTATTACATGTATCTCAATTAGTCGTGTTAAAATACATTGAACTATGATGAGTATTAGTGTCCCAATGAACTTCAAGATGCTCTTACAAATGGAAGTGTTTTTGTAGGCTCATGTAAGGATCTTATCCATGCTCACTTCACAGAGGGACTACCAGAACTAGCCATCGCTTATATTCTACGAGATGTTCTAATGGCATTAGACTATCTTCACACCAGGGGCATCATTCATAGGTATGTCTATAAACAGGTTGACCTGTCCCTTGCAGGAAAGTTGGAGGCCTGTCCAGATAACACTTTCTTTTAGCCATTCTTGTTATAAATTCCAAAACATAATGGGATCCATCCCCATAATTTAACATAGATTTAACTAGTTCTGTCTCTTTTTTCCACCCTTGCATTCGTTCGACCTCTTAAAAGAAAGTCACTCTTCCAGTTTACAATAAATCTCTGATCTCACCGAGCCAATCTGAATTTGTCGTCGAAATACAGACGACTTTCTATATGGTGATTTCCTATGGCATCACTGCATAGTTAATGAGTACGTATATATCATGCGTTCCTTCCACTTCGCCGATTGGTTTAGAAAGGGTCAGTGTGGTAGATTTGAAATGATTTATTACCTGGGCTGTCACAGGCATCAATCTTTCGGACAGGGCTGCTAATCTGTAATATAGTCTATACTAGGCAGAGGGTAGTTTATAACTAGACTCTGTGTGCAGGGTATCTTTTTTCATACCATATGTTCAATCTGCTTGAGACTTCCGTATTAAAAATCCTCAAATGTGAACACCTGCCAATCAGAACACTTGGTCAGTCCCCGTGGTGTTCAGTTTAGGCTTTGTCCCCGTGGTGTTCAGTTTAGGCTTTACTGTATTTCTTATTGTAGGAGTGTGAAAGCAAGTCACATTCTCCTATCAGAGGATGGTAGGGCATATTTAGGAGGTCTACATTACTCACACGACATGGTGTTCAATGGGCAACGTGCTAGGAAGGTCCATCATTTTCCTGTGAGGGCCGCTGCTAGTCTCAACTGGCATAGTCCAGAGTTGCTCGAACAGGTAAATTGGTGGCTGGCCCTTTGTGAAATACTGTATACATGGTACAAGTATATAATCTGAGTCGTTAATTTGCCAAATGGTCATCAAACTTCCCATTAGATAATTTTTCCAACATTTAATTTTCTGTACCTGGCAGAACATAGGTAATAGGCAAATTAAATGATCAGACAAAACCACTTATACAGTATGTAAGACTTTCTTGTATTCTTATATTTTCTGTGTTTTATTGGAATCATTGAATAATTTGTATTATTATACCACTGTCAAGCTTGCAGTTGTATGATTGGTCAAAACTAGGTCACTTGTAATGAAAGATCGGGAGCTTCAGTTTTTATGATAAGATATATCAAAAAAATGCACAGGTATTCACCTCAATAGAATAAAATTTATGTCTAATATTCATGCTGTATTTTATAGAATATGAATGGCTATGACACAAAGTCAGACATCTACAGTCTTGGAATCACTGCTTGTGAACTAGCTAATGGTGCTACTCCCTTCCAAGATCTACCCCCTATGCAGGTACTATGGCCATTTTCTTTTTTATCTGGAAAATATATATAGGAAGTCGCTACATGTAAATATCAATGCAAAAGAATTAAAAGTGATATGGAAGTAAAAAATTGGTAGTGATACTTATACTCGTATAAGCATATTTTATGAATCTTAAATACAAGCAGATGAGGGGAGAATAGAAATAATTTTTGATATGGATTGTTAGATATTCAAGATTTAGTCAAAGTCATATCAAATGTGAAATCAACATAACAATTATACTAAGTATGTGATTTCAAGTTGGAGTAGATTTATTTCCCCATAGAGTCCATGCTATAAAATCATAAAAAAGAAATACCTTTTTGTATTTAATTGAGCGAAAATAATTTCCTGAATACATAAGTGTACAGTAGATATTTTTTTGATTTTCATTTAGATGCTGCTAGAGAAGTTGAGTGGGACAGTTCCCAGACTACTAGATGCTAATACATTACCAGAGACACTAGATATGGAGCAGGAACAAGGTAAAGGGTGACCCAATAATAATTCAATTAATAAACAAAAATCTCCATAACTTCCATCCATTCCTCTTGAACACATTTCTTGATAGTTTGCACAGATTAACTTTACCCTTGTACTTGTCTGGACTGGTAAGTTTTAAACAAAGCCATTCTAAGCTGACAAAGTGACACCCATTTTAACAGTGGAAGACCCTAAGGTGGTCCCCGCAAAAAATTGGGCGCAAAAACCGCTCCACTCCCCAGATAGACATTATTTTAATTTAGTGCCTAATGATTTCATATTCAAGGCTATCCCTGTTTTAAAGCAAGCTCCAGATCTAATCAATCTAAGGTCACACCAGATATCATTATCTAGGAATACACCAAATTTCATTGATCTAAGCATGTACCAGATCTCAAGAATATAAGCATGCAGATCTCCATTATATTTCCATATTATTATGTCAGATATGATTAACTTGTGGCTTATTTCATATACATGTACTAGATTAGTAACTTTTTACAACTTTTCCAAAAAGTGGAGCACTACCTAAAGTCTGTAACATTCTAAATCTACATACCTTTGTTCCGTTGGTTCTCCCTTTGGGTCAGTATTGATTGAAGAGGTTTTTACTTATTATTTACAAATTTATCTCCATTCCAGGTGAGCTCCACAATGACACGGCATTATTCCAGAGATCTTTCACTCCACACTTTCATAACTTTGTACATCTGTGTCTCCAGGCAGACCCGTTTCAAAGGTAGGTCAGTGTATCAGTGTTGTGTGTATATCTGTGTCTTCATTTTGGGTGGCATGGAACAGATTTATTGCCTGAACTTACCATCGGAATCTGAATTTTGAAATTGTCTTCGTTTCATTCTATTCTATATTCCAATGTGTGCCAGACCTACTCATGCAGTTTATCACAGTATTGACATCAAAAATCTCTGTAAATGGCTTGCATTTCTTATTTTTGAGAAATTGGGCATTTTGGCCTTTTCATAACCTTCATTAATGGGCTAATATTCTCACATATTTAAGAGGAAGGTCTAAAGTCTTTGTGGGTTCTTCACAGGTCACTCGGACTTCAAATCTTACTGTTGCAATGGTTCACTTTTCTGGACCACCCTGTACATCTTGATTTTAACAAAATTTTATCTTTGATTTGCAATAGCTAAAATGTCAAACTCATTGTGCATCTCATAATAATCATTGTTCCAGACCAAATGCAGCACAGCTACTGAACCATCCATATTTGAAGAGAGCTAAGAGGAAATCATCTGCTGACAATCTCCCTACTCTACTACAACCTGTTAAACCTCTCTCCCCAGAAGCAATACTACCTAGAGGTATCTACAACATTTTTTTAAAGTATTAATGATTACTGTGTCGAAAGATTCTGTTACTAACCTGAATATCTGAACAACACCTCTTACACCTCACCTACGTGAATGTGGACACTTTGCGATGTGAAATTTTTTTCGGTCCCCTTTTTAATTTGCTATTGACTTCCCTGTTTCAAAACGTCAAAATGTGAATACCTGTTAATCTGAACGCTTTTGATTGGTTCAAGTGGCGTTCAGGCTGGACTGCTTTTACAGTACTTGCTAGCTTATTTATGCCTTATGCAAGATTTAATTTGATTGAATACTTCTCTGCACATAATTCATTTTGTTTCACTCCTCCATAAAAAAACAGAGTAGCGTTTTTTGGTTTATTGTAATACAATATTCATAATATATTAAAAAACAAAGTCATTTACATAACACAGACTGTACAAAATTCTTCAAGTTATTTGTTTCAGCCCTATCACACCTATCACACATATTACTATAACAGTCAAGTAAAATGGGCAAAATATATATTACAATCACTATATTTTAATTTCATTCTTACAGATACTTGTGATGTGGAAGATTTAGCTGAAAAAATGTCTGAAGTTGAGGTCGAAGAAGCGTCTTGGATTTTTTGACTGGTGGAATTACATTTTGATGAAGACAGGAATGCATTTATTAGGTAAATGAAACTGTTAATTATAGTTTGACCCTAACACATGCCTGTAGCCACCAGAAGCCTTATTCATAAAGCCAACGTAGGACTTACGTCAACGTATCGTATTACGGAAACTTATTTTGGTATTCATAAAGCAAACGTAACTTTACGATGAACGTAAAGTCCTGCGGATCTTACAAAATATTTACGTCAAGTATCTTCACCGTGTAACTTTACGTCCATCCTTAAAAACACTATTTATTCGTACGTTTAGTATCCAATTACCATGAGATTTTGTGAAACATTTGTTTAAGATATAATACGTATAATTTTAAAATGATTTGTCGTTTGCTTGACATCTTTAAGTATCTAGCTGGTTCCAAAGACAGGTACGAAAATGTCATCAATTTCTAGGTGTCCAAGCGTAAACAGCAACGTATCTTTCATATACGTTCAACGTAAATTATTTTCAAATGCCAATGCGTCATCATTACGTAATAGAAAGAAAGAACAAACGCATGTACTATAAGCAAAGATGGCTTTTGTGGTAGATGTGCGCATCTTTGCAGTAAGACGGGCTCTTAGACGAGAGCGATTGTTTAGGAATCGTAGCAATCCCCTCAAAATCTTTGAAGATAGGGAGCTTCTACGAGGTTTAGATTACCGAACCATTAATTTTGGAGTTGGTACAGGGAATTAGTATGGACATAACAGTGGCGTAGCCAGCAATTGGTGACCAGGGGTTCGACTTTTTATGTATCCACAAATCTCCCCCTTCATCGGTGTACATCACATAAAAGCATTTTTTGTATTTGTCATACATACAATTTACACCCCTCCAAAAGTTTGGCAACAATTTGATTTTCTATATTGAACTAGATGATGGCAACTCCGCGGAGTAGCAAATCCCAACGAACAAAATCGTCGCATGAGAATAACTTTGTACTATCTCACATTTTTACGGAACTGAGAAATCAAGGTTTGAAAGTTTAGAGGTCTGTATCTTACTTAGTATTGCTATGTGAAACATGATTTTTTGTATGTCACCTGGTCTCACCCTAGAGATATCTTATATGAAATATCATACCTTGAAACAATTTACAAGATCCTTTTTTAAAACTATGGAAATGGAGTTGATACAATTTCCCACTGGAATAACAGCTTATTTCTAATTTCAAATTGTCATATCTGATATCAACTGTTTCAACCAATCAGCTCTCTAAGAATTGGTCATGTGACTTGCAAAACTTGGAGTTATAGCAATCTTATATAAACAAAGTATGCCAATATGCATGTTATTGTATCTAGAATGAAAAATAATGTTTTGCTTTGTAAAAAAATCTTCAAAAAACCAAAGAATATTATTTAATAAAATAAAGAAAATTCAATTTAAAAAACTTTAAAATCAATTTCTCAAATAAGTACAATTATTTCTTAATTTTGGAATCTCAGGACACCCTTCAACAAGAATTTATTACCTTTGAAACTAAGGCAGAAGTACAATGCCTTGAAACCAATGATGCCAATACGGTTCCCCACATATTTCCCTCGGTATAAACCCTGTAGACTAAACCTCCCATCACATTACAATGTAGGCCCTAAGGGCCGGTCCGCTGGTCATTATCAGGTTATTTTTGATACAGACAAGTTGATTTTTTCACTTGGTATAGGAGAATAACATTGCAACTGGTCCGTAATTCCATTTTGACCAGCAGGTTTCAGATCCTTAGGGCCTAAGACATAACCAATTTTTATAACATGCACATGGAAGAAATTTGAAAATAGAAAAATAATTTCTAATTAATTTTAGATTAATGAAAGTGATGAAACCTCGATTTAGGTAATCACATTTTGTTCATTGGGATGCAGCTATCATTATCCATTCATTTTCTGTTGTTTGCTACTCTGTGGAGTACAATTGGGAATTGAAGCAATTGTAGAAGTGGAGACTAAGAGTGGCTCTTTGTAAAAAAATTGAACCAATTTGTTACTTTTCCAAAATAAAATGTAGATGATCTAAAAACAATGATCCCAAAAAATGCAAAAGAAAGGACAAATCTGAAAAACATACTAGTAAATAACTAAAAAGATCCCAGATGTTCAGTGAAAATTTCAAAGTAAATCATAGATGAAGAGAAAATAAAATAAGTGTTTTAAGGGACTATACTAACATAAAGATAACTCCTTATTGATATAGTGTATGGTCAGTAAAAGTTAAAGCTAGTTTAAATAGATTTAGCTTTTTTTCCACAAACTATAAAACATCATTTTGAAAGAGATTTCAGATTAGCGAAAATTTCTGTTTTCCTGACCCCCCATACACGGCCCCTGGGGGTCAGGATGAAAAACACAGAATATATGTGAAATAGATAGATGTTGCGAATATACTACCAAAATTTCAAACAATAATATTAATTACTTTGGTTTAGAATGAAAAATTTATGATTTTTGCGAAAAAGTCCCGTCATCTTTAAAGCGGCGGCCATCTTGAAAAAACAATTTTTTGCGTAAAACTATTCATCAATATACATCTTTCCACCTAATATGAAGAAAATCCGTCAACTAATATTTGAGTTATCTTCCGGATGGACAGACGGACGGACGGACTGACGGACGGACGGAGGGCTTCACTATATCCCTACCGAACTTCGTTCGTTGGGATAAATAGTTTTTGGTGAATCTTTTACTGAAAGATATTGGAATCTGGTAGCAAAATCATACATTTTATATAACAATTGTTTTATTGTTCAATAAAATCCAAATCAAGGGTCAGCATACATTGAGACAATTTTTGTTAAGGGCAAATTACAACATATCTCTAAGGAACATATTTTTAACGAGCTACCATTGAAAAATCGTCATTCCCAATTCATCATTCAAAGATATGTCAAATTCTGGCATGCTATTCCCACACTTTTAGATGATTTTTGAAAAGAATCCAAACCAAAAGAATTTTATCTGCCATTTCATTTTGTAATAGAGGAGTTCATATATGATCTCATGAACTTACAGTAAGTTTCTGAATACTAGTATATTCAAAAGCAAATATTTTTGAAGAATGTAATACTTAATTAATCATGGCGCACAATAAAAGTCGTAATGGCTGCATGAATACTCTCAATTGGTACTGACGATAGAAGTGACAGATGACAAATAGTATTGTATTAATGGAATGCAGGCTGAATGCAGGCTGAAATTCAAAAAAACAACAAATTGAAATAACAAAATATCCACTGTGCTCTGTAGGCTCTAACATTAAACATCTCTTTTAAATTTCAATGCCTTGCAACAAATAAAGAACAACTAACGCTGAAAAACTTATTTGTTGTGCTTTCTTTGAATTGAAAATAAAAACTTTGAAAACATTCCATTTTCTATCACCGTTCCGTTGTTTTTATCATTAATGACGAGAATCATTAACGTTTTGAGAAATGAAAACATTTTAGATGAACTTGTGAATCATTATTATAACATGTATAAACGTTAATTTGTTTTCGAGAAATGAACATTTTATTATCTTATTAAAGAATGCTGTCAAATCCTTTTAAGACACACGATTTGAAACTTGTGGTAGGCTAATCCTCTCGTCTTTCTGGCAAATACACTCCCCTCCAAAAGTTTGGCAACCTTAGCTCCCTGCCTCCTCTTTGTTTTTGAATTTTTATTTACATAACCTTAGAAAATACTTATAATATTGATGAAAATGTAACTTGACTTCATTTCCAATGCCTCCAAATTTTCCCAATTTCCCTTCTTCTAAAGATGAATTTTTGAAAATTGTCATTCCCATGTAAGCCAAGAGGAACCAATGGGCTCTTTATTTAATTAGTAGATTAGATTCAACCGCAGGCCATCTGTAATTAGGTCTTTGAAGTTTAAAAATCTCGATAATCTAATGGCAATTATCAGTGGATCAGTTTTTTAGAAAATAAAAAGTGATTATCAGGAAGCAATGCATATTGGTACATCACGTGATTTTTCTAATATTTTTTATGATGAACTTTTTCCCTTAACTGCGAAAATAAAAAACTCATTCGAAATACTTAATAAATCTAGACTTATTTGATATAATCCTCCTTATGCCTTTGCTTTTCTCAGCAAAATATGACTGCAACTGGCTATTTTTATTGGACAGAACTTTCCACTGCAAGTAATGTGTGTACCTTTTTAGCTTACCCTTGTATCTAGTACCAGAGACATACCTAATTGCCTCCCTTAATCCATTTATTTGCTAAACATATATAATTAATGACATTAACACGATTCACTAAAGTTTGATGTTCTTGAAAATAGAGTAAACACTAAATACACTGAAACAGCAACAATTTAATCTTAAAATGATCTCGGAGATGAACGTGCATCTGCAAAAACAAAACTGATTTTTTCGCAATGGATTTATTTTTCCTTGAAATACCCATTCGATGGAATGGTGTGTTTATAAATGATACATATGCTTTTAATAATAACTCATTTCAAAATGTTTCTATTATTTAATATTTGCTTTTGAGGACTTATCAGCGCCGGGACTTAGCAAGAATTTTTTGTTTGAAATAAAACATAACGGAGGGGCACAGATTTGAAAAAAAGTGTTTTCATCAGTATTAGACAGTTGGTTTATTATGTCACCACCAAAAGTGGTGACATATTGTTATGGTCTCCGTTTTTTTGCGACGGCGTCCGGCGGTTGGAGGTTGGAGGTTGGCGTCCGGCGTCTGTAACAATTTCTTACAACTTCCTATAACTTAACAAATACTTTTTAGACTGACTTCAATTTTTTTCTAAATCATCTACATGTTCTCAGAAGTTCAAATCTGACTTTAGATTTGACATTTGACCTTCAATGACCTTCTCAAGGTCAAAAAGGTCTTTTTTCAACTTGCTTCACATTGACTAAATTTTTTTTCAAAATCATCTACATGTTCTCAGAAATTCAAATCTGACTTTAGATTTGACTTTAGATTTGACCTTCAAATCTGACTTTAGATTTGACATTTGACCTTCAATGACCTTCTCAAGGTCAAAAA